CATCCTATATTTTTTTTTTCGTCGCTTTTCTTTGGTCTGATGATAAATTTCATGTCGCTTCCTTATAGCAACTTTATTCCTTTATAGATTGACCATATCTTTTTTGTAAGCTATTGAGTTGTGTTACCAACATTGAAGTGTGTCGTACAACCTCTATGTTGTTTGCGCTCTTCGTTTCTTTACCTATCTTTAAGCTATTCACTCTTCTTTTTCCAAGTAGGTAATGTTGGTTCAACTTCTAAATGACCATTGACTCAGTGGTTTATGCATACGGACATGCAGTAAATGCCAAAAATCTTAACCCTCGTTTATAGACTTTAATCTCAGTTATCTAAGGACAATTTACATTCATAAAACTTTTGCCTTTTCTTGGTGTCTAGGCCAAATAGTGGAAAGTGTGCTCGGGACTACCAAATGTAAAAGTTGCGGAGCTGAAGTTGGGGTGTTTTGTGACAATTTCAACTAGAAGCAATCTAAAGCAATCCCCAGTTTAATATACTAACAGACAGATCTGTGAGACATAAAATAGCAAATGCAAAAGATTAAAGTGACACTAGGTCTGAAGCTATAAATGACATAAAGATCCACTCTTTTATGGCGTGTCCTTAGATTCATCAGCCTTTTTTAGTTACTTAGAGAAGCTGTAAAGATACTCTTCTGTGTTCTTAGAGTTACTTATATGGAACGAGCAGTAAGCATATTATCGCTCATTTTGGCAAGGAAGAGAATTACCTAATTAGATATCTTTCCTTTTCCTTATATCTTTAATATGCAATTCTCTCATGTAATCTTACGTTTTATGTTTCAACAAGGTAACTGCAGCTGGTGATCTATGTGCTATTTGCCAGGAGAAGATGAATGCACCAATTTTGTTGCGTTGCAAACACATCTTTTGTGAAGACTGTGTCTCAGAATGGTTAGTATTTCCTTTGCAGTTATAATTGGTAGGTAGTCATTCTTTATTCCTAACAAGGTTATTAAATATTTTATTAGTTAAATACAGAATATCCTAAAGAATCCTATAGAATTCCTATTAACATTTTTCTTATTCAAGTTCGATGAAGCTAGACATATGTTGATCTAGACGCATTCTAGTAACATTCAACACGCTCCCTCAAATTGGCAAACCAATTTTGAAATTGCTAATTTTGAAGACCGCCAAAATGTTGCTGGGATAGTGCACAATCACCAAAGGATTGCCACCAAAATCTCTGAATAGTGCACAATCACCAAAAAATTAAGCAGTGTTGGAATTTTTTGTCGCAAAATTTGTTGGAAACTGCACAGCGAAATAAAGTGCTTTGTGGACAACATATAGAGGTTTGGTGTTGTAAATCTCCAAGGCACTATTAGCATAGCTTGAATTGGCAGAACAATAAAAGAAAACAGTAATGTTTAGAGGAGGGTCATGGAGAGTAGAAAATGGAGTGGCACCGGTCGTGCGTAGAGAGGAACGACGTTGATCGCCAGAGAGAAGTTTTTTCTAGTCCGGGGAGAAGATGACGCTGATTGTTTGAGAGAGAAGCACCATCATTCACCCAAAGAGGAAAGAAAGAAGAAAAACACTAGCAGGGCATGTGGTGTAAGGCATTCCGGCCGGTAAGCGGAAATCACTTAAATCTTTACCAAGATTGTAGAGGCTCTGGTACCATGTGAAAATAAATGCGGAAACTCTTGTTGAATTTGGTTAACAAGCAATTTATAAGAGGGGCTTCTTGCATAGGAATCTTAAGTTACGTACAATGTAGTAAATAATCATACTCGATGCCCAACAAGAGAAGTAAATATATTATTTATTAAATACAGGCTATCCTATAGAACATTCTGTAGTATTTTCTTATTCAAGTTCGATGAATCTACACATTTGTAAATCTATACACATATTCTCCTAGTCCATTGTTTGATGTCGCTCCCCTCTCCAACACCCGCCTCTCTACTCTCTGAAATGACCATTCAGTTGTTGCTCCTCTCTGAAACGATCGTGCAGTTGTTGCTCCTCTCTTCGACAAGCAGATGTCATTCTTGTCGGGACTGTTCAGGCGCCGCTTCTCAAATGATCATTTAGGCATGGCTTCTCTTCCGTGATCATGTAGGAGCCATTCTTCTCTCCAGCAACCGGCTGGATTCCTCTCTCCTGCGATAACCTTGGCACTGTTCCTCTCTCCGGCAGGCGACACCTCTCATTTCTCCGGCAACCAGCGCCACACATCTCTACAATGACTGATCATGCACCGCTAATTTCTGCGGTGAATGTTCCGGCATTGCTCCTCTCTCCTATGTCCGTTTAGGCATTGTTTCTCTCTTGGATGTCAACTGCTCATCTCTCCCGTGATTGGCTGCCCTCCTCTCAGGTGCCTTCCTTCCTACAGCGACCGAGGTCTTTATCTGATACTTGATTATTTTTGTAATTAAAATATTATTGCTATAAAGAATAATATTTACCTAATCTAAGGTATAATATTAGATACTCATATCATTTTCAAAAAAAAATAGATATATCATATCTGCAGATTCTGGTAGATTCTCACCATAGTATAGCCTTATCAAAAAGATTCTTACCATAATATAGAGATTGGTCCTGGGCTTACATCTCACCGCCATCCATTATTTAAAAAAATTATCACGTGCTTGGCCCAACAAAAAAGAGTCTGACCTGCATGTATAGTTTGAACTTTTTAATGAGGTGGTCAGACATTTCAGACATTATGCTGTGATTCATGTGTGTTTTTTTCTCATTGGTCCTGCAACATTAATTACAAAGTGCTTTATAGCATTTTGCTTCTAATAAAATATTTGAAGTGCGCCAAACTATCATCAGCATTTGTGTTGATCCTGCCATGTATTGCCGGTGAAGGCCATAGCCCATAGGCAGCCATTAGAACAAGGGAATGCCTACTGGAATATTTAATGAATGCCATAAATGCTACTAATTGGGCAATGTCTGGAAAGAACTCTACTTGCTGAAATTGAGATTGTTGCATTTGTATTTGAGAGCCCTTTGTAACTCTCTGAACTAGTTGTCATGACCATTAGCCAAAGTAACTGTAATTTGCTCTCAGAGCGAGTTTTTATCTAATTGAAAATAGTCGCTAGTCCCTAATTCGGTGGAAGCATATCATGTTATCACAAATGAATTCGTCTTGCCCTCAGAAGGAAAAGAAAACTGTGATTGAGTCTGCTGTCATTTTCAATTTTAGTCTAAAGATGTTTCCATAGGCTAATCTGGTCTATCAAAGCAGACCTTAATGCTGAAAAGGAGAGGAAAAGGAGAGAGCGTCTGTGTTCACATAGTGTTATTTTTGAAGTAGTAACTGCTCAATCATTATTATGTTCCCGCTATCCCCTTGAGAAAAAAATTGATCTTTAAATCAATTTGCTTCTCTGCCTTATTGCTTGGCTGTTGCCTATTATCATGGACATATTCTGAATGCTTAAAAAGTGTTATGTCTATGCTTGTGCTAACAGTTAGTGTCCTCTAAACACCATGTTTCAGGTTTGAAAGGGAAAGAAGTTGCCCTTTGTGCAGAGCCTTGGTCAGACCTGCTGATCTAAAATCTTTTGGAGATGGATCGACTAGCCTTTTCTTCCAGTTATTCTAAATATAGATGTTACACCAGAGTGAATATCTTTCCGTGGTAGTGGCATTATCCTCGACTTGGCCAGTTTCTGAGTTATGAAATTACCTGATTCTGGGGGTTGCCCTGTTAAGGTTTCCACGAGGATGTTGCGTAAGAATGGGCTCTGCTCTTGATGCAGCTTCTCTGAGGATTTGGTGGGGATGAGAGGATGTCCTGATCCAATATCAGTACATATTGTGCTTCATTTTTGTATAGAGAAAATATTCATGTAATGTTATGTAATTCACAAAATTTAACCACAAACACAAAAATTTTGTTTCTTTTTTCAGGCCTGTACAGTTCCTCATTATCATTTCAACTTGAGAAAAATTAATATCATAGTATATCCCATGTATCATACAACACTAATGAAATACAAGTGATGGTGTTGGGGCCGGTGACACTCGCATCTTTATTGGCTATGAGTTTGTTTTATTTCCCAAGCCTCTTATGGTGCATCTCATCTTGTTACCGTCTTTTTAACCTTCCTTTTAAAAACAAGTGCTTAATGCAGCTATGGCTTTTTCCCTTCCCTAATTCCAGAACTTAAGGCCTTCGGCCGGTATGTAGTCAAGGTCCTATGACGAGCCAGCCCTGTGATTAATTTCCAGACCTCTGGCTGATCCTTCCCCTCAAAAAGAGAGATTTATTTTGTCTCAATGTTTATGAGAACCTTTCATGTAATATTAAATATGACACTCATTCTATTTTAGAATTTGCTCTAAGCTATTTGACACTGTTTTATTTGTGTATAACTTGAACAACTTACAAGAATTTGAATTTATTAAATTGTTCGCGATACAACTCTGATTTGATGCTTTTTTTAAATTTATTTTTTTTAACTATCATCCTTGCGCAAGGGAAATTTGGGTCATTTCTCGTCGTAATTACTCTAGTATATTATAGACTATCAAATTAATAAATTAAACTTGGTGTCCAGATAAATGTTACGGATGGAGCAGAAAATAGAAACATGTATAGACCCTGCGTGCAAACATTTGTTATCAGCATTAACAATCAAATGTTGAACGGCTAGAGTTGTGTCTACATTAGTACTGCTTCTTAGCTTCTTTTTCCCAATCGATGATCCACATGCACTCGGCTGCGGAATTTATTACAAACAGGAAAATAAAAAAGACCCTTTTATCAAAACTAATCAAACTGGTTCTGAAACCCGGTAGTGAGATTAAGCCATTGCCAACCAAGCCTTCCTATAGCATCATACATTGCTTCTATCAGGACATGAAAGTTGGTAATACAAGGTCATAAATGTTTACTTAGAGCAGAGATGTCTAAACTATTGAACCAGAAACAATACCGAGTAAATTCAACACCATCTAGCTGTCATAAAAAGCACAATCAAATGAATACTTGAGAATCCAGTAAAAGGAAAGCAATCGCTTATATACAGAGACGGTGCAAAAGTTCCATGTATTCGTACAGAATAAATTACATTAGTATAAACAATACAGCAGATAATCTGAAAATTTTATATAGAGAGAGCCGCAAGAGCCATTATATACACATTAATCAGCAAACATAACTTATTATTTACTAGCATTTCTCCCTTCTTTTCAATTTCACATGAGAGTAAATCTGAGATTTATTTACAGGGAAAGTACTTTTAGAAACAGAACTATCTCTGCCTACTCTCTGTTTTCAGAAAGCGGACATATTCCTGCTGTACCATTTCTCCTCCATTCACAGGATCAAAGCTGCACCTATAGAAACTGACAGAAGTCCAAGAGGTGAGAGAAAGGAGAACATTTTAGAAACGGTACAAACTTTTTAGTTCTAATGCCAGAATACATTGAACAAATGCTAAATATTTCTTCTTTTTTTTNTAAACTGAATTTGCTGACTATTGTTGCAACAGAGTAACATATTAAGCCAAAAAGAAAATTATTTAGTACCTTCCATCAGTGCCAGCAGTAACAACAGTGTTCTGAGAACCAAACGCAACAATGTACTGGGTACATTCTGGCAAGTGAAACTGAGCAAATGACCATTCAGAGCTAAAGTATTTTGGCAGAACTCCTGAAAATTTGTATTCAGAAAAGAAATCAAATTAGAACAGTTCCAACAGAAAATTGGCAGTGTCACCTCACCACTATGGATAAAGAGGTAAAATTTTGTGAGAATATCAAATCAGTTTCAGAAGTCAATCAATTGACCTTATTAAACTTGGCAGTTAGAATAATACAGCATAGTCATTACAAAATCAGTTTAAAATACTATGGCATATTCCTATTAATGTAATTATTATTGTCAGGGAAACATTGTACAGGCATTTCGGGTTGATGTGTAATTTCATAACATGCTCACCTTTCATAAAAGACAATGATGAACCAGGGTTGGCTCCAGTACTTGGAGAAATAAGTGCATCAAGAGAATTTGATGAATTTTGACACAATAATGTTGGAGTTCTAACAGCAGAATCAGCTGCAGCATCCTCGCCAACAACACGTACTCTTAGGCTGTACACATGGATGGTACCTTTGTCGCTAGAGACGGCCAACCACTGCACATTTGGTGATAGTGCAATACTATAGATATCTGCTTTGTCAACCCCTCTACGCACCTAATGCAAAGCATATGTAAGGAATTAAGCAATCTATGCTAAAGATAACATATTATCATTCAGTATTAGAGTCACCATTAGATGAAAGGAAAGCCAAAATAGAACAGGAATCATATAAAGCATGCTTTTAATCTAATAGGAAATTAGAGGAAAACATCTCAAAATCAGTATCTAAAACCAAAAGGTGGCCCCATTAATACCATTTTGTATTTTGTAGACAATTAGAAGTCTCAAAGATTTTGTGGATTGTCTCACAAGAGTATTACAGGCCCTAAAGTATTCTTAAGGAGAGATTCTTAACAAACTAGCAGCAGAGTGAAGAGCTAAAGAAGACTCAACTAACAGGAGACAACAATTAATTCTTAAAGCTAAGTAGACTTTTGATGTCCTGTCCATTCAGCAATTCCATTTTCAACCACCAGAAACAAGACAGAAGCATGCTTGAGAAATATTACCCCCCCTAAAGCATGTAAAACCATACCTATATAGAAATTCAAAATATTCAGCATCATACATACATACAACAACTACTACACCTCAATTCCAAACAAGTTGGGTTCGGCTATATGAACCCTCACTAACTACGGTATTCATTTAAATTATCTCATGAAAAGTATTAAAAGTTTTGAATATTTCAAGGTCATTCCATTTTCAGTATCATACATAGATAAATGAAATTTGAAGGTCGTACCATTTTCACCTATTGTAGTTTTGTCTATAAGCAACACTATAGAGTTCACTGTGATGCAAAAGGATCCCATCTATTAGCAATACCGAGTCTAAAATACTTAATATTATACTCCTTTCTCCAATCTAAAGTGACATAGTTTGATTTTTACACAAAATGTTAAGGCTACTTCTCAATTACATGTGAACTACATTTAGAAGGAAAAACTAAAACTTGTTGAAGCCGTGAAGAGAACTTTAGATAGCGACTGAATATATATCTATCTCCTCTCACCCTATGAAGATAAGAAATTTGTCAAGTCTCGATTTTGATATAAAATTCTCATCAATTGACCAAGTATATCTTGCACATGCCAATGGAAAATTGATCAACTGGTGACAACTTATGAAGCCCCATAATCCCCCATTGCTCTAGAGAATGCCTCCTAGTTCAGCTTTTTTCCAGTAACCTAATTGCATGGAGATTCCCACCAATTGCCCATGGAATCTCTTGCCACCCACATCCACCCTGAAACTTCCTACCGAAACTCTAGTTTTGATCCCTCACCTATGGCCTATAGACTCCCATAAAGCCCCACTAAATAACAGTGCCCACATATTATTAAAGAAATACCAATGGAATAACTCCCCTTCCTCACATCCCAAAGTACCAACGCCATTTTACTCCGTAGCGCTACAATACCTCCCATTCTTCCCCTAGTCAGGGTCATGACGCATTTCTCACAACTGACTCTGGTACTTCTTCCACTTCTGATTCTGGCAAACACAGGAAACTTGCACCTCTGCTAACTCATCTTGATGAAGGGTTTTTTACCCGAGTCATTCATTTCTCTCACATTTCAAGATATTATTTTACTCTCTACATGCAATACACACTAATTCTCTCCCGCCTCTTTTGCTTCCGTCCTCCTCCCTATCACTATTAATGAGAGGAAACTTTTAATTACTTCATTATACCTCTAAACACCTACGAATGTATGTTTATAAGTTGTTTCACATTTTGCAATTACATAACCTTTGTATGTATCCATTTTCCTTTTTGTGCTGGATCAGAGACGAAATGGCCTCCAAGTTAAGCTTTGATGTAAATAAGTACCTTACCACTCTTTACGGCCCATTAACTAAAACTACTTTTCATATGGCCCATCCCACAAGATTGACTTCTTTTACTAGGCAGCTGAGTTATACAATTACGTTCTTATATGCTAGTTTGACCTCAAGATGATGTCTTTTGACCTTAGAAACTTAACAGGTATGTACCTTAACATGTCAAAAATAATCTCCATGCCGGAAAGTAATTCAGGAAAAATTGGAACGGGAATATTTGATGACAACGCCCGACTTTTATGAGAATCCGACACTAAGAAAACTGCAAAAGGAATGAGCCAGCTTTGTGCTCATCCCTTCCTATCACCATTTGAATCTCTAGTTCTTCAACAAAATTCCTCAGAAATGAGAGAAGAAACTACCTCTTGCAACTGAGTTCCATCCATGGTGTTGAAGAGTCTTATCAAAGTTCCCCGAGTGCTTGCTGTTGCAAGAAGCAGCCCATCCATAGTCAAGGTTAAACATGCTATCTGAGAATCATGCGCCTTGATCAACTTTGTCATATTCAAGCCAAAATGCTCAGCCCGGACCTGTCCTCTTCGAACGCCTGGGCAAGCCAATACAGATGTATTTAAATGGTGTGAGAGGCAGCAAAGTCCCCTGGGATTGCCCACAGTTTCTATCTGATGAAGAAGCTTCAGATCCATAAAGTTGTAGACATATATCTTGTGCTCAAGGACTACAACAATACAATCCCGTCTTAGTTTCACTGCACAAACGTCAGACCTAAATGAAAATTCACCAATGCATCGGCTCTGATGATCATCCCATATAATAACTTTATTAGGTGGGTATTGGGCGTTAGTCCTGGCACCGACAAGTGCTAAAATGTTGCATCGGAACAACATCTCTACTATTCCAAACCCACCACTTTTCAGATCACGTCTGAAAGTCTCTTTGAAAGGATCACAGTTATATACACGAAAGCCACGGCTAGTGCCAGCAGCAAAGCAACTGTAATCCTGATTCCATGACACAGAGTGTAGCTCTGTATCATCATTGTCACTGATCTCTGGTTCAGAATGGCCAGAATGAGAGGCCCCGATCATGGGGGATTCATATGTCCCATAGGCTGCTGGTGGAAGTGTCCCTCGAGATGGTGAGACAGTTGAACTCGTTGGGGATGATAGAGTAGTCATCACCAAATGCAAACAGAAGCTATGGAAATCTACAAAATCAAATTTGAAAAAGCACATAAAGACGACAAACAAATGTAAAACAATTAGTGCATACCTTAAGACAGCAAGGAACAAATGTAAAAGGCTCGTAATACTTAAGTCTAGAAGTGCGTGAGTAATAGCACAGAACGCAAAAGTACATAACTACCAAAGCAGCATGAGTATCTTTTTGGTTTTCCACCATCGTCAACAACAAAATTTGCTGTATAAAGTTTACTTCTTAGCCCACAGAAGAACCTCTATAGATCTAGAGAACATTTATGTTTTAGAGGGCAGCCAAGCAATAACATTAATTATATTGGAATTAGAAATGAAAACTAGTTGAAGCTAAATTTTAGAAGACACTTTTCTGATAAGTTTTATATTTAAATAGTCATGAACCACATGAAAAAGGAAATACAAAACTTGAGACACTTTCTACGTGTTGTTCTCTGCATTTTTTAAAAAAGTTTTAACTTTAAAACGTCTTGACCCTCTCCAAGAGCATGTTTTTGCAAATGCTACCACAAATTAGATGATCACTTGCTGAGGCCAATTTGTCTCTAGGAAAATGTTCACAGTTTAAGAGCTTGATTCTTTGCAGGCTAAATTAAAGTGGCACAGTGCATTTGTGTGAACCACATTCTGGACATGTAGTTGCAAGTTGAAAAGGATTTCACACCATAATCTTTCAATCAATTCTAAGTCACAGTTTTATCTCTTTAATTAAATTACTATTTGCCTTTAGACATAAATAGAGGAGCATCACTAATAAAGCCTGATTCATCTTATCATCACTCAATGATCTTGTTCTCTGATTTCCTGAAGAAGCTCAATTTTTTCAGCACAGTATACTCACTCTTCAAGCAAACCTCAGCTCGCGTCAATTATCATTAGAATTGACTGGATTTTAAATCGTACAGTTTAAAATCACCTAACTAAAATGAAAAAATCAGAAAGATAGTATCTTTAAGTAAACCCTAATTATCCACATTCGGGCATGTACAATTGAAAATGGAAAAAAAAAAACATAAATAAGAGTAAAATGTGTTGACCTTTGTGTTAGTTCGGCAGCGATTGGTGAAGCTCAAATTTTGTGGTAGCGATTGCGATGTCACGATCAAAGAGAGAGAAGCCCAGATCTTTGGGAGGGTGAATTGTGATTGAGGGGAAAGATTGGAGAGGAAAGCACGACTGAGGAGAGAAGAGTCCGACGGGTTATTCTGGTTATTTCTATTTTTGGGTGTGGCCTGTTGGGGAGATCCGCGGATTCGAGGGGATCTTTTGTTTTTGACAGAGTGACACCATCATCCTTGTTTAGATGTTTTCTTTTTTGTATTAAATTTAAGAAAATCATGTTCGAGTCAAAATCCCCATCTAAAATCTAAATGGAGTTTTACTTTCTACGGAAACATACTTCATAATTGAATTGTCTATAAAGAAAAAAAGAAAGAAAAGGTAAAGAAGAAACTACGGCTTCCATTGATCTACAATAAAATTTCATTAGATCATTCATGTGTGACCTTTTGTTAGGAAAACAAAAAGGATTACTAATTAATATATATTACTAGCATATTAGTGTATACGGTCAAAACTTGTTTTGCTCTTCGTGTAATTAGTCAAGATTGGAACATAACGGACCAAGGGTCGTCTTCATAATATCGAGATGAGATCCGAAGCCACGTTATCAAACTCAAGATTCAGGGACCGATTCAATACCGAGCTCAAAGTCAATATCGAGCTCGAGTCAATACCGAGCCCGAGTCAATACCGAGCCCGAGTCAATATCGAGCTCGAGTCGATATCGAGCTCGGGATCCGGAGATCGATCAGTACCAAGACCAACCTAGATCGAGTTATGAGACAAAGAGTCGTTGTAGCCGCACTTAGAGAGACAATCTCGGCGGGAATTAAGGAAAAGCTAATTAATTAATCTATCATGGGATCTCCACTATGTATTTTTTATTATATCCAAAGTAGAATTTTTTCACTATATTAAGAGTGAGTATCATTTCTGTAAGGGCAGATAGAACATCCGAAGAAAAGATAAAAACATTCATACACTTACATTTCAAAGATTATTACACTGATATATAGAGAGTTTATCCTTTTTTGAGCTTTGGATGTTGATTTATCTTGTTCGTTTATAAATCATTCTCTAATCAACTTGGTTTGTATTTCATTCCTTTATACAGTCAATATTTGATATATTTCTACTTACTTTTCCGATTTGTACCAAGTTATACCACGTATTCTTAGAACTACGTATAAATTCAACTCTATCCGTTTTTCGGGTAAACAGTTTGGCGCCCACCGTGGGGCTAAGGATAATAGTGATTATTTGGTACGAATCTCTGTGAAACACACTATTTTACATTTGCTCTTGGAAGTGTCTTTGATTTCAGGTTGAAAACGACGAATTCTCAATTAATGACCCTACCTATCGACAATAAAGCTGGCCTTCAAGATGAGAACAACAACTTAACCCCCCGGGGGTGGAAGGCCACTCGTCTATTCCGTTGGAGCTCGGGTCGAAGAGTCAATAGACATTAATTCACATGTGGCAATCGAGGCAAACCAACGTTCCGACCCTGAAAATAGCATTCATGGTAGAACTCGATCTGCAGCTCCAAATACCCAAAACGCTGAGGAAAACGGAATCAGCTTGCGTATGATTTTCGAAATGTTGCAAGCTCAACAAGTAGCAATAGCCCAGTTGTAGAGCCAAACCCAGGCACCGACTAGACTCGAGCCCAGTCCACCCCAAGAAATCACCCACAAAACGGGACCAGTTGTAGTAAGGTCAAATGAGCAAGAATTGGGGACTAATCCCGAAATTGTTAAGATGCTCGAGGAATTGACAAAACGAATAGAGTCAGGAGAAAGGAGGATTGAAGAAAATGACAAAAAGATGGAAACGTATAACTCCAGGGTTGATCAGATCCCGGGGGCACCACCGATATTAAAAGGCTTAGATTCCAAAAAGTTCGTACAAAAGCCTTTCCCCCCGAGCGTAGCTCCGAAATCGATCCCCAAAAAGTTTCGCATGCCCGAAATTCCTAAATATAATGGAACGACCAACCCCAACGAACACGTTACCTCTTACACATGTGCCATTAAAGGGAACGATCTAGAAGACGACGAGATCGAATCTGTATTATTGAAAAATTTCGGTGAAACCCTGTCAAAAGAAGCAATGATATAGTATCATAATTTACCGTCTAACTCTATCGATTCTTTTGCTATGCTTGCAGATTCTTTCGTAAAAGCACATGCTGGAGCCATACAGGTCGAGACCAGGAAATCGGACCTTTTCAAGGTAAGACAAAAAGATAATGAGATGCTAAGAGAATTCGTATCTCGTTTCCAAATGGAACGAATGGACCTACCACCAGTCACAGATGATTGGGCTGTTCAAGCTTTCACTCAAGGTCGGAACGAACGAGGCTCGATAGCTTCACGACGGTTGAAGCAGAACCTGATCGAATACCCAGCTATTACCTTGGTCGATGTTCATAATCGGTATCAATCGAATATTAGAGTCGAAGACGACCAGTTGGGTTTTGGGTCCGTTATTAAAAGGGACATCAACCGAGAACAAAGGCCGATCAGGGACCGATACCGGCCGTATAGTGGAGATTATAGGGGTAACGAACCAGGACCTAACCTCATACAAAGCAATAGAAGAAGTGATCGAGGTCAAGGGTCTCGGGGGCTGATGAACAAGAATGGGTTCGACAGGCATACTGGACCTAAGGAAGCACCGCGATTATCGGAATATAACTTCAACATCGATGCATCCGCCATCGTGTCGGCTATCAGACGCATCAAAGATACTAAATGGCCTCGACCTCTGCAGACCGATCCAACCTAGAGGAATCCCAAATCAAATGTGTGAATATCATGGCACTCATGGCCACATAACGGAAGATTGCAGGCAATTGAGAGAGGAGGTAGCCCGGTTATTCAATAAAGGGCACCTTCGAGAACTTTTAAGTGACCGGGCCAAAAACCATTTCAAAAATAAGGATTTCAAAAGACAAAACGAACAAGAAGAGCCACACCATATCATCCACATGATCATCGGTGGGATCGATATCCCCTAGAGGCCGGTGCTTAAATGCACTATGATGTCGATTGTAAGAGAGAAGCGATCTCGGTCTCAGGATTACACACTTAAAGGAACCTTGTCCTTTAGTGATGAAGACGCAGAAGGAATCACCCAACCCCATAACGATGCACTGGTAATATCTGTACTTATGAATACAACTCAAGTTAAGCGTGTGTTAATTGATCCAGGTAGTTCGGCCAACATTATTAGATCGAAGGTCGTAGAACAGCTCGGTCTACAGGACCAGGCCGTGCCCGCAACCCCGGTTCTAAACGGATTCAATATGGCATATGAAACTACTAAGGGCGAGATAATTCTGCCAAATAAACGTGGCCGGGACCATCCAAGAAATAAAGTTCCACGTGATCGAAGGCGACATGAGGTATAACTCTCTTTTTGGAAGACCGTGGATCCACAATATGAGAGTTGTACCCTCGACCCTCCACCAGGTTCTGAAATTCCCAATATCGGAGGGTTTCAAAACGATCTACGGAGAGCAACCGGCCACAAAAGAAATGTTTGTCGTCGATGAAGTAATTCCGATATCTTCACTATCATCGACCAAAGGATCAGATTTGAAAGGGGAACGTAATACCAAATAGCAATCACAAACGTCAGCCTCGACCCTACTAGGGAATCTGAAGACTAGCGAAGATGATGAATATGGGGTCCCTCGATCCTTCGTGGTCCCCGATGATTCCGACGCTACCCAATCAACAGTCGAAGAACTAGAGCAAATCACGCTGGTCGAACATCTGCCCAAACGAAAGGTATACCTGGGCACGGGGTTAAATCCCGAGCTTAGGAAAAAGCTTATTTAATTTCTTATAGCTAACATAAATTGTTTCGCTTGGTCCCATCTTGACATGACATGGATCCCACTAGAAGTAACTACTCATAGACTAAGTTTGGATCCGAAATTCCATCCGGTAAAGCAAAAAAGAAGGCCCCAGTTCGAGGTCAAACATGCCTTCATCAAAGACTAGGTAACCAAACTTCTTAAAATATGATCCATTCGAGAAGTAAACTACCCCGAATGGCTAGCAAATGTGGTGGTAGTCCCTAAAAAGGGAAACAAACTTAGAATGTGTATAGATTATAAAGACCTTAATAAAACATGCCCTAAGGATTCTTTTCCTTTGCCTAATATCGATCGTATGATCGATGCCACGGCCGGCCACGAGACTTTCAGTTTTCTCGATGCCTACTCCGAGTACAACCAGATACAGATGAACCAAGAGGACCAAGAAAAGACCTCGTTCATCACTAAGTACGGTACCTACTGTTATAACGTAATGCCATTCGGTCTAAAATATGTTTGTGCAACTTATCAATGCCTAGTAAACTGAATGTTCGAAAAACAAATAGGAAATTCAATGGAAGTTTATATTGATGACATGTTAGTTAAGTCCCTACGATCAGAAGACCATTTAAAGCACTTACAGAAAACATTCGACATACTAAGAGAGTACAATATGAAACTCAATCCCGAAAAATGTGAATTCGGGGTTGGCTCGGGCAAGTTTCTTGGTTTCATGGTATCCAATCGAGGAATCGAGATCAACCATGATAAAATCAAAGCTATCGAGGACATCACAGTAGTAGATAATGTAAAGGCTGTGCAGAGGCTAACGGGACAGATAGCCACCCTAGGACGATTCATTTCGAGATCCTCAGATAGGAGCCACCAGTTTTTCTCACTACTTAAGAAAAAGAGCAGCCTTGCATGGACTCCGGAATGCCAGCAGGCTTTGGAGGAGCTGAAGTGGTATTTATCGAGCCTGCCGCTTCTTCATACCCCGAAAGTGAACGAACAACTTTACTTGTACTTATCTGTCTCGGAGATAGCGGTAAGCAGAGTCCTGGCCCGAGAAGAATGAGGTACGTAATTCCCTATTTATTAAGTCAGTCGGACCTTAGGCGAGGCCGAAACTAGGTATCCACACTTAGAAAAGTTAGCGCTTGCTTTAATAAGTGCCTCTAGGAAACTAAAACCATATTTCCAATATCATTCAATACATGTTGTAACAACTTATCCTCTTCGCAGTATTTTGCACAAACCTAAGCTTTCAGGTCGATTGGCTAAATAGGCCATAGAAATTGGCGGGTACGATATTGAGTACCGACCCCGAACCGCTATCAAATCTCAAATCTTGGCAAATTTCATGGCTGACTTTACGTCGGTCCTCGTACCCGAGATTGAGAAAGAACTATTGATAAAATCGAGTAG